TCTGTCTGTCTGTCTACCTGTGTGTGTGTCCGTCTGTCTGTCTGTCTACGTGTCTGGCCCTGCCTGCATGCGTATTTGTCTGCGGCCCTACCTTGGCTACCCCTATGCCCCCTCTCTCTGAGGCCTCACCCGGAGACACACACACACGCACACACACACACACACACACGCACACACACACGCACACACACACACGCACGCACGCACGAGGAAGCAAAACCGCAGCCGTCAGCCAGCCTTCGCCTTTCACGGGAAGGGTCCCTTGTGCAGGGAGCGACCCCCTGCTTGCCGTCGCATCGCTCGCCCTGCGGTAGCAGCACGGCCCTCGGCGTTGTCCGCTTGCGTTACCTCCGTACAGTGACCTCAGCTCCAGTCGCCTGGCCCCACCACCTCTTAAGTCGCCCGTCACTTACTTAACTACCGCGCCGCCCCCGCTTACTCCTACTCTGAGCCTTGGTTTCACCCTTGTGGTGGTAATCAACATTTACTTGATTGGCAATCCAAGCAGCTACGTCCGTCCGTCCGTCCACAGATTCACTGGAGAGCTCCAGTGACACGTCGGTGGTGGTGGTGGTGGTGGTGGTGGTGGTGGTGGTGGTGGTGGTGGTGGTGGTGGTGGTGGTGGTGGTGGTGGTGGTGGTGGTGGTGGTGGTGGTGGTGGTGGTGGACTACGGAGAGCTCGATTCGGTGGACAAGGGGTTATTCGCCAGTGTACCGCCATCCATCCATCATCCATCCATCGGCATTTCCCCCCCGGGCCCCCATCGCGGCCGTCAGATCATTAGCACCGCACCAGTAAGCCCCAAGCCGAGCTAACCCCCACCCACTCGCCTCTAGGGCCCCACCTGCTGAGGGAACTGCTGGACCAACAGCTCCCAAGCGGCCTTGGGCAGCGATAGCACCCGTACCGGAGTACGACCGACCACTGTCTCGTAGCTGGCGCCGTCTGAGGATTCGTGTACGCGAATGCACATGAGTGTGCGAGTGTAAGATGCGTGAATGTGTGAATGTGTGTATGTATGTACGCGTGTGTGTGTGTGAGTGTGTATGCATGTGCGTGTGTGAGTGTGTGTTGCGGCAAATAGGGGGGTGGGGGTTTAGGTGCCGGAAAGGGCGGTGACGCGATGTGTGGAAGCCAACGGGGATGATGAGTGATAAGTACCGCAGACCTCCAGATGCCTCCACCTAAGGGCCTTATCTTCCCCACCCCGGCTTACCCCACCGCTGAACCACACGGACCCACGCCGCCCCTGTTGCTCCGGCGTCGCCATGCTCATCCCGTTTGAGCCAGCGGCTTCCCTCCCTCCCCGCTAAGCGCCCCGGTGGCTGCACCGGAGTCATTTTCGCGCACCGACACCTATACCACTACTAGCCGACCAGACAGCCAGCCAATCACAGCCCGTCTGTCCGATCCTTCTCACCAGTGAAAAAGGCAATCTCCGCCAGGGCGTCGCTGGGGCCTTTTTTGAGTGTGGAGGTCAGGTTGGGGATCTTGGGGGGTAATCCAGGGGGCAGCGGGGACAGCAGGACGCCGCCCGGGGAGAGCAACGGGGTGGCGGAGCCTAAGGGCCGGGGGGTGAGGGGTGAGGTGTCGGGCAGTCGGGGGGAGCGGGGGGGGGGGGGGAGAAATGGCTGATGGAGCATTTGTAATGAAGAACAAAATACCTTTCTTAACTCCTCCACGATTAGCACTTCATGGGACTCCAAAAGGTAAATAAGAGAGCAAATAGGAGGATAAAAAATACCTTCAAAAGACGCTCCCAATCCCGTCGGTACTTCTTTCTCCCCTCCACCTGATGTTCCCCCTCCCACATGGCCCCCTTCCCAAGCACTCATATTTTTTCCATTCCATCTCACTTAAAACCCTAAGCAACTCACCGGCATGCATCTGGCTGCAGTTCAAACTGCCGTCCCGCACATTGACCGATACCTCCGCTTTGCTGCCCACCGCCGACCCAACAAAGGAGCCGCCGCCGTCGGACGTGGCGTTGCGGCTGCTGCCAGTCAGAAAGGAAATGTTGCTATCGGAGCCCACCGCCGAAGCACCCAATGTCGACATGCCGTACACACCGCCGACGCGCTGACCCCCGCGCGACACCAAGCACTCCCCCAACATCACAATCAGCAGCTCCACAACGTTGTCGCCCTCCGTCATGATCTCCACCCCTGGAAGGAAGAGCTCCACACGTGCCGCGGTGAGCAGGGCGTCCAGAAAGCGCTGCTTACAGCCCTTGAACAGGTAGCAGCTGCGTACGGGTTGCAGGTAGAGGTGACGTAGCACCAGTCGGCGGATGGTGGTGGGGTAGATAGACAGCACGTTGTCGTCTGCCGTCTGCGCCGAGTCGAAGTGGACCTCAAGGTGCTCGCGCATGGCCTTGTACAGGCGCTGAAGGGAAAGGGTTGAGGAGGACGGGGTTGGGGAGGACGGGGTTGAGGAGGACGGGGTTGGGGAGGACGGGGTTGGGGAGGACGGGGTTGGGGAGGACGGGGTTGAGGAGGACGGGGTTGGGGAGGACAGGGTTGGGGAGGACGGGGTTGGGGAGGACGGGGTTGAGGAGGACGGGGTTGAGGAGGACGGGGAAGGTTTCCCGGAAACGTGCCACGTGATGCCATTGTGTTGCCATTGCCGGTTGATTGTGGTTGTGGTTGTGATTGTGGTGGTGTGGGGGTTGATCCCCACCTTCCCAGTACCTCCAATGCTCCTTAACTCCAAAAAGCCATCAACAACACCCCTACCCCCATCCCCCACACGCATACCCCCCCCCCCACACACACACCTCGGGCAGCTCGTTCTCCCTGCTGTACTCCACCAGGTGAGTCATGCTGTCGCGGAAGGACTTGCTGTGCTCATCCGCGCGAACCATCTACATGTGAAGCACAGTGGCAGTAGGGAACGTTGCCAACAGCAAAACACGTGCACGTTTGCGGACTAACGTGCGCCGGAGGTGGTGGTGCGGAGGGAGTGCTAGGAGGGAGACAAACGAGCCAACTAGGGAAGGAGGAGCGGGGAGAATGGACCCGCGGGAGGAGTGGACGGCAGGGGTGATTGCTGGCTGGAGGTGCTGGAGAACGCGGCTTCGAACCCGGCGAAATGCGGAGTAATTAGACGATTCGTGAATTGATAGACGGCGTGTCCACCAAAAGCCGACTGCGTGCATACACACAAACGCTCTACATTAAGCGCTTTGCTGTGGCAACCAATGCACACGGGAAAGGACCCCCATATCCGAGGGCCCCAAAAGCAGCCGCCCCACAGGGGACCGCCGCATCAAGACGGCAAGGCAGGGGTTACGGCACAACGGCGCAACAAGAGATGTCCCTAGGACGGCCCACGCACCATAATCGTCACAGTGCCGATGATGTAGGCCCCCAGAAAGAGGTTGAACAGCTGTCAAAGGGGGCAATGAAGGAGGTGTAAGTGAAGTGAGGGAAGAACCGAAAAGGATAAAGCCGAAAGGGAGAAGGAAGTACGGAAGGCAGGGCGGCTACAGGCAATCAAATATCCGGCAAGGCTGCTGCAGGGCGGCTACACAGCAAGTCCAGAGAAGACAGCTGTTAAGGCTGTGCTCCTGTTAAGGCTGGGGAAGGGAGCCATGGTGGCCGGCAGCTCGTCGTCGCCGCAGTCTCGCAGTCTCGCTGAATATCTTCCTCGCCCCTGACAACCCCCTTCACCCGCACCACCTTTCACCCCACCACCACTACTTCCGCTTTGCTCCGGGACCGCTTTGAATCCATCACCTCATATGTTATGAAATATGACACAATTTTCTTAGCAAAATAAAAGCCACATCATCCCAAACCCCAAGGACTCACCAGGTACACAATCATCACGGAGAGCTCCACAATGGTGAAGGGATAGAGGCGACCGTCCCCCATGGAGGTGAAGATCGTGACAGTGAAGTACAGCGACAAGATGTACTGCTCGTACAGGGGACGCCCCATGAACGCCGGGCCATTGCGACCCACCCAGGAGTCGTCATTGCCGTGACGGTAATTTCGCTCCTCGTGAGCCATGTGAAAGAAGATGCAGGCAGCCCAGCTGCAAAGCCCCCACGGGGGAGGAGGATGGGGGGGGGGAAGGGGATGATGGCGAGAAAAACGCTATCTCAGATTTCCTTCTCTGGGCATGAGGGCCTTAGGTTTTCTCTGGGTCAGCTGCGGGTGCAAAGAAGGGCTGCTAGGCAGGCGGCCCGGCTGCCAGCAGGGCGCTGGGTGCCACCCACATGGGGTGCAAGGCACTAGTGAGACGAGGAATGCTCACACCACACACAGGCAAACCCCCTATCCCCTAAAACCCCAAACCAACACCGTACTACAAACCCCAACTGCCAACCACATCAGGGCGTCCCGGCAGGATGCCCCCATGTACGACACCCGGCCCCCGTGCAACTCGCCTTCCCCCGTACAGGAACTGCGACCCAACCCAGCACCCCGTCACTGCTACTGCCACTGCTATTGCGGCTGCAAGTAGCCGCAGTCGTGGGAGGACGCGGTAGTCATTTGCGAACCCGCCGTCGTTCCCAAACAGGCCGATGGCTTCAGATCACCGTCTCTCTTCAAAACAAAACCCCTAAGAAGCCCATCATCATCTAAGCACTCCCTTTTTCCTGCTCCGCGAGCCCTCTCACTGTGCAGTAAAGAAGACGTAGGTGTAGTTGCGCAGCAGCATGAGGGTGCCCTGGCTGAGCATCATGCGGTAGTCCAAAACGTGGAACAAGTCAAAAACCCGGTACGCCCGGGACTGTGACAGGAGGGGTGGGGGGTTGGGGGTTGGGGGGTAGGGGTAGGGGTTGGGGGGTAGAGGTTGGGGGGTAGGGGTTGGGGGGTTGGACGCAGTAGCAGGCGGGTGCCGTGGAGGCACTAGATCCTTCTCTCCGGCCAGTCTACTTAGCACCAGCCTGGTTACTAGCTTTCCCCGACACACTAACAAAACTCCACATTCCTCGCCCTGGCCGACCCAGCCGCGCTTCCCCCCAGCCCAGCCCAGGTCGCTGCCACGGCCCCACCACACACACACACACACACCAGCGCCATGAGTTTCAGCCAATCGACGCTATCCTCGATCTTGTTAGAGGCGCCGCACCGCCGGGCGATGGCTGATACGAGCATGTCGTACGGGAAGCAGCCCAAAATGTCCAGAAAGAACTTTACGCTGCAGCATCAGGGAGAAAAGAGGGCGGTGCGAAGTGGCAGCAGTGCAGCCGGGCTTTTGGGTTCCGTTTGGAGCTCGGGGCTCGGGGGTTCTCCCCGTCCGCCACCCTAAAGCCGTCCTCTCCTTTCTTGCTACACGTCATTCACTTTGTTGCAAAAGTAACAAGAAGTATATATATTTCCCTTTGTCCACAGTTATCACAGCAAGCAAGCTAAGAAGTATATTCGCTGATATCACAGCAAGCAAGCTAAGAGGTATATATTCGCAGTTATCACAGCGAGCAAGCAAGCTAAGTAGAGCTGCAGCAGCTCAGCTTTCTGGCACGGTTTGCTCTTCAGCCTTACGCCGCTTGGCGCTGTCGTCAGGAACATGTCTACATAGGACATGTTACCTGGTCCCTTCCCATTTAGTTGCATCCCCTTTAGGGACCACTTCGAGCTACCTCCAGTTTTGCTTGATGGGCCGCTTCCAGAATGTTTTGTGTTATTTTGCTGCTGCCTAGGATGGTCACACAACTCGCAAGTCACTTCGCGTGTTCTTCCCGCAAATTACTGTGTGTTGTGCGTATGCAAGTTGACGGCACAGCGATGCGCCCCCTCCACTCGCCAGCCCACCCAGCCAGCACCAGCAATTGGGCAGTGCATTCGACGCTACCTTCTACAGTACGCAATGGCCATCTTGGGCTGTGCGGTGACCAAGACGCCTGTCTCCGGGTCGAAGTACGCCACAACGAACTTGAACAAGAAGTCCAGCAGGAAGGTCACGATGATGACGTACTCCAGTGCGGTCATCCAGCTGGACGTAAAAAACGGAATCAAAATTGGATCAAATGATAATTGCTTGGTTCACCCGGAAATAATTAATTGTTCGTTCGACTAATCCAACAAGGGTAAGGACTATGGCCGTGAGTAGGATACCTACGGGCCTGGGGGGTGAAGGGCGGCTTGCGCGGCGAGGCTAGCCGACGGGAAAAAGCGGCAAGATGGGAGAAATCGGGGAGGGGGGAGCCGGGTAGCCAGGCAGGGAGCTCTCGGTGTGTAGATAACAGCGGACAGAGGCAAGGCAGGAAAGGGCGCTCCCTTTTGTGTAAAAGTAGGAGGCAATCCCCGGGGGGTTTTTGAGGCCCAGTCCCCATCTCCCCCTTTGAACTCCCCCTGCTATGAGGGCTCTGCTGCTGCTTGGTATACTTTTATGCAACTGACTAACTCACACGGCTGTGGGCATCCCGGGGTGCTGGAAAGCCATCTGAAAGGGCTCCACCCAACAGGATACGATCGCGATGGCGACCGCGTAGTAGAACCACCACACTTGGTACCTGCAGCCGTTTGGGAGGCCGTTGGCGAGCAGGGAAGACGGAGATGACGGGGGTGAATTGAGGATTGAGGATTGATGGAATGATGGGGGAGAAGCGCCGGACCGTGGTGCAAAGGGATCGCACTGTACGGCAGGACGGCATGAAAAGCAAGTATATACGACACGTGCACGGCACCGACGTACCCTTCTCTTCGCTTGGTGAAGCCAACGTATGCCCTTGCAGAGCTTTCCCCTTCCTTCCCCTTCCCCCTCGCAAAGCCCCCACAGTACTAGATCCCACTAGTTCATTCCATTTCCATCTTCTCCCGTCTGCCTTTCCCATAGCCCCCTTTTGAAGGGGGGAGCTACGCAATACGCGGTGGCCGAGTAACCTAAAGCGTAGGATTAAGACTCCTTTCCTCATGGGCGCAAATTCAAATACTGCCGATAACATTCATGTCTTTGAAACTTCATGCTGTTGATGTTTTCGGTCTGGTCTGGTGACACCGGTGGTACCAGTGGTACCGCTGCGTGTTGCAGAGTTAGATCCAGGGATCGATTCCTGGTCAAATCGTCGACGCCTAGTTACTGAGGTACGGAGATAGGGCCTACTTGACGGACTAAGTTCCGCATGCTGGATTGTTGTCGATGGCTGATCTGTCTCTATGGATGTTGGTTACCTGGATGAGCAGGGGCCAGAATCTAAACCGCCTTCCACTTTCAGCTCGTCTTAACAGGATTAACTTTAACTCCAACCTATCTCTCTCTCTATATATATATATATAGAGAGAGAGATAGATATAGATATAGCTGGCCCCAGGTTTTGACAGACACCCCCAAATTCGTGCGGAACTTGTAACTTGTATTCCCCCCGTTTCCAGAAGGCTCCAAAGCCGCACCCAACCCACCATGAGGTTTCCGGCAGTATCACCACTCGCATGGCCAGGAAGGTGAGGGCGTTGCTGAGCGACTCCTTTATCCGCAGCCACGGCGTCTCTCTAGCGCCTAGAAAGAAGTTCGACGTAGTAGCGATATCTTTGCTGCTCGCAACCTGCTTCTGCTGGGCTAAGGCCTGACGGGCTGGCTGGCGGCCCTGGGCAAGCGCGTTGGGCCGGGAGGCCTGCGATGGGTTCGGGGGAGTGCCGCCATATGTTGGGCCCCGCTTGGAATAAGCTGGGGATCTGTTGGGGACGTATCTGGTATGGGTGTGGGGCCACAGTATGGGCACAGTACCGGTGAAAGCGCATAGCAGATCCCGAGAGTTGTGTCGTGGTGGTGACGGTGGGGGAGGAGGAGACCGGCGAAGAGACCGGCGTATGGCAGTGTGCGAGTATATGGAGGGATGGAAGTGGTTCGTGCGTGTGGGTTGACGCAACGGTAAGGCTATCTGCCTACGGCTCTATCTGCCAGAGAGGGCCAGAGAGCAGGTTCCCAGGAAAGGCCTGCAGCTGGAGCTAAAGCTGGAGCTGGGAGGAACCCAGCTATGAAGTAAAGTCTGCAGCATCGCCCTAGGAGGAGGTGAAGGAGCCGACGGGAGTAAGAAGCTCGTCTGCCTGGTTTTTCCTAAACCGCATATCATAGTAAGAATATGTAAATAAAACCCTGTACACATGACACAGCAGCGTCCGGGTGTCCGGCTATGGGCCACCGCCACTGCCGCTGCTACTGCCGTGCTAAGCGGACTTGCGGACAAACGAATCAGCGCCCAGCATGCAATGGCAGCGGTGACGCACGTTGATGAGCACCAACCGAAAACGTTGTCTCCTTCTCATTCAGGAAAGGAGAAGCTGAAGAGCTTAACAGCCCGCTGGGGGCCACATTAGCATTGGACAGCTGTGCTGTCGAGCAGTGCTCGTGCGCACGCGCGCACACGGCGCACACGGAGGACGTTCATGTGCATCTGTGCAAAAAAGTCTGTGTGTGTGTGCTTTTGTGTGTGCAATTATCTATGCGACTGCATGGCTGTAAATGTATGGGGTTTGTGGACGCCTGCCATTAGCCCTCGCCCCGTGCTCCGGCCCACCAGCACTTTAGTCGCCACCACCGCCTTGTTCAGTTTGCGCCAGTTATGGCGCCCCGAAGCGCCCCCGATGCGAGCGGATACGGAGCCAGCCTCCGAGCCATCCTGAGAGCAGTTACGGCCCCCTGCCATAGAGGAGGTAACGCCGCCGCCACTGCCGTTCCTATGCTGCTGGTCGACATCGTCAGAGCTGAGGGCAGTGAGCTTGTCCTGAATGGCGCTCTCCTCCAGCAGCTCGGAGATGCGGGCGGTCCGCTTCTGGAACCTGCGGACTTGGGAGTGGGCCCCGGCGGGGATGCCGCTCTGCCAGGAGGGAAACGAGTTGGGCCGGGGTGGAATGGGGGTGGGATGACGGAAAGGGTTGGGTGACGGAAGGTTGGGTGGTGGGCCTTGCTGAAAACATGCGTGGGCAACGGGATGTGGTGTTATCAGTTCGGGTAGAGCTCCGCCTTCAGTTACAGATAAGGATAAGATAAGGATAAGGAGTCTGACTTAAAATGCGAGGAAGGTGCTCTTTGTTCATTACCCAGGATGGTATTTTGCCGCCGATGAATGAGCGGCGGCATCGCTAGGTCTGGCGGTTGTGCACACAGGAGTCTAGCTAGTGGCAAATGTGGTGGAATAGGGTCTATCTCATGGAACATGTACGGCATAGATAGGGAATTGCTGCTGCCGCTAAGTGCAGCAGGTCATGCGTATGGAGGCACAATTGAGCTGGCATCACTTAAAAAACACGTTGGAGCATCAAAAGGAGAAAAAAAACTGCCAGGCATTCGCGCAGGACAGGGACCTCGTAAATTCAAGGGAGATTGGCACATGCATATATCCCCCGTGCAAGCTCCAAGCACGACTAACCTCGACGCTGCCGCGAGGCAGCTCTGCGCTGCTCTTGACCACATGGAGAGCGCCAGGTGCGACCGAGTCCATCTGGCTGGGTGCGAAGCTGTGGATGTGAAGTAGGCAAACTTGCTGACTGGCTGTTTGTAAAACAAGGCGCTTCAACTCCAAGTCCTTGGCGGCTGTAACGCACAACGCAGTGCTGCAGATGTGCAAAAGCTGCAGGGATTTCTAGCTTCGATGACGGCGTGACTCGGTTATGTTGCAACTCCAAAGGAGCAGTAACATGTTGGGCCTCCAAAAAGCATTCTTAAGTATTATTGCTTGAACAGTCCAGCGCATTGGATTTAGAAGCACCCTTGTTGAAGACTACACAGTAGGTAGGAGTCTGCGATGGCCAAATATCAGATGCTTCCCTACAATATTGTTGAGGATTACACAGAACAAGCATTTGCGTCTGCGTACACTGAATGAAGTTTGCTAATGGAGGGCGGCAATGTCAACTATAAATGCCTGGCAATATAGTGGCGCAACTTAGAAAAAATGACGCTTTGATTCATGTTCTGGGTATCCTCTTTGATTAGTAAGGGACAGACGTTATGTTGGGACTTCGGAGAAAGTGTTCCGAAGCATGCTTCGTGCGCCGAGGCGTATTCTTGATTGCTTGAGCGTTGAGACATGACACTACCCAAGTATAAGAGATTGTGCCATTTTTTACTATCTCGAGGCTGCAACCCAACGGAAGTAGGCACTTAGGGATAAACTTCATAGGGTTTCTTCGATTGCGGAATTTTCACAACTTACTAAGGACTTTAGCATGTTGGCCTGCATCCTTCATTATCACGGCATTCGATGGTGCAACCATTCCCTCCAATGAATTACGGATAACGTCTAAAAGCCCTAAAATACATGAGCCAGCTAGCAAAAATTCTCTCCCTGGTTCTCCTTACTCTTACCGTGACAGTAAGGTTAACATGTCTTCATGTGGTGATGTAACGTGTATCACGCCACTAAGGAAACGGGACGAGCGCTGCTGTTGGCTGCCCCATTGCTATGTTTAAACCTATGTACCCTTCATTGAACACCATAGGCTGTGAATTAAGGCCATCAACATTGTAAAAGGATAACCTCGCCGTAGGTAACTTGAACTGTGGAATGCAGGTAGGTGCTATGGACAGGCAATGTCGCTCATTTCCCAGGATTTACCATTATAAAAAGAATCGAGATATTCATATATGGCTTATCATCACTGCCCGCATCCTGGCACATTACCTGAGCTCGTTAACTGTATTAAGCCAGCGGCCCCTTAAGCACTCATGGTGCCCAGCTCCGCAGTCTCGATCGTCTTCCTTCCGGAGGTTGCTCGACATGAGTAGCCCTGATTACGCTGGGTGAGCACTGACGAGGCTTGCTTTCCTAGCATGCGCCTTGGAATCGAAGGCAAGGTGAAGCAGGGATTCAATCCATGCAGTGCCCACCCCGGAATGCAATCCCAGCAGCCGTCACTGCGACATAATTAGAAACGAAAGACTACCTCGAAGAAGTTGTGAAGAGGAAATAAGATTTCCATGCTTGTCTTCCTGCACATTAGCTCTTCCAAGGTTTGCAATTTCTGGATTTCGATGGAATTTAGTGAAACACGTCGTCAGGGTTACGGTTATGTTTCTACTGCACGTTACGGAATAACCTAGCGCCGTTGTCGCTAACGGAAGGAACGCCGGTCTGTGGGAACACACGTTCTATCTGCACCAAAGCTTCATGCAACCCTAAAATACTGACGCAAAAATTCGTGGACGCAAAACGTCGCAAGAGAGGGCAACGTGGCGGCGCGGCGAAAGCCTAGAGGTAGTCCAACGGCCCAGCAAATGTGCTCATCCTGCAAGTCGTCGTAGGTTCCTGCACAAATTCCTCATTTCGGGAGACGTAAATGGTGACGCTAGCTTGATGTTTAACTGGCTTACGGTTTTTTTAAAGTATCGGTACAATAAAAACTCCTAACTTCTATTTTCCTGTAGGTCCTACCTTCTTTAGCATTCTGCATGCCCGAACTGGTGCAGCCACCTGTACGGGCAGCTTTCGAGAGCTGCACAGTTTCATGCCAAGGAACACCCTCTAAGAATATTGACACTAGAATCAACTGCTAACGAAAAGCACAGCGTCCGTTGCTCCAGGAGCTGTGATTGTCATGAACACAGATCGCTGTCAGCAAGGAACTGGAACTTTCAAAGAACCTAGATTCTCAAGTGTACCCTTACTTCCGAACACCTTGCCTCTTTTCCCTTTAAGCTCAGTATCACCGGTTCTCGACCAGCCTGGACATGTACCTGCATGCTACATTAATGTGCAAAGTCCCTTCTCTATTTCGTTAACTCACAACTTGTTGCATGGCCAAAACGCCGTTTGTTGGATGGCCAAAACGATGGACTCTGATCGATGGCCAAAACGCTGCCAAAGCTGTTTGGCTGCTAGAGGAGGACAAGCAAGCAAGCACGCAAGGAAAGAGGGCCAGCAATACCTGCAGGCAATAGTGTCCCACCAATCCTGTACTACCATACCACAAGTAAACCTTTCTTACAACTGATAACGCAGTGGCAGCCCCGCCACGCACCTCACCTAGTTGCGACCGCGACCTCCTTATTAGCTGCTGCAATCCTTCCACCTTCCATCTGCACACCGTCCCTGCCGCCCCAAATGCAGCAGCGCCGCCTTTCCATTTGCCGCCCCCTTATCGCACACGTGTTTCCCGTCATAATGTCGTGGGGGGCAGAGCAACACAGAGGGACGAGTGCACCGCAGCGCCGACAGCACCGCTGATCACACCTGAACACTACCCGGACAACACTACTGCTCCCTCAGCCATCATAACCGATCATGTACAATGTAGGTAATGCACGTATATATACGTGCATATAGCCGCACATCGCTCTAACATTGCTAACAAACGCTGTAGAGCGCATATTGGACATGGGGTTTCCAGAGCTCCCACTTCACTCTTTCAGTGAAGCGACGGTATACAGGGACACATAGCGACACACGGCGACGGTAGCACATAGCGCGATGATGCATCATCATGAACAGCCTTTCTAAGTTTCCATAGTCCCTCTTCCCCACCCCCCAACTTCAGAAGAAGCTGTCCTTTTCCGCTATCACCAGTAACATCATACGCCAATGAAGCGCACATAGCGCACGGTTGGAGATTTGCTCAGCCCTGCATGGTTATGTAGCCGTGACTACTGTTTCAATACAGCGATATCGGGACGTATATTACCCACAATACCATGTGGTGGTGATGTCGAGGATGATGTGCGCCGTGGCGCTTATTTCGCTCGAGCAGGGTAGCGCGCTCTGGCACGCGGTGAAGGTGCATTGTAGAACCGTCAGCGGGTGCTAGCGGGCCTCCGCCAAAGGACCACCCTAGGCGCCTCAGTCATGGGATGCGCCACGCACTAGAAAGTAAGCCAGCAAGTAAACCAATTAAGCAGAATCGCGCGGGGCCCTAGGCCAGCGAGGCCCGAGGACCTATGCTTGAATCAGACCAGGCCACCTACCAACAGGGAGGCCGTTATGGCAATTAAAGGGTAATGCTGCACACGTGTGTCCCGTAATGACGCAACATCAGTAGCAGCAGCAACAGTAGCAGCAGTAGCAGGAGCACATGCAGCATCGCGCGCTCGGAACATGGGCTTCACACCACTATCCTCCCCTGCCACAATTAACTTAGCTACTTCGAGCAGCGGGATCAGAATCAGGAACAGTAGTCCAAGTTCCAGAAATGGTATCGACGGCTGCAATAACGGCTATAGTAACGGCTACAATAACGGCTACAATCACGGCTACAACCACGGCTACAATAACGGTCACAAACGCAAAGCTCACGGCCTTCGAGGTAGATACGAACGCAAAGCAAAAACAAATAGTTTGATGAAGGATAGTTGAGTTAATCGCGCCGCTTGCTTGCGGCTTGGCGATATGATCTGCAGAGATAATCGGTGCTTACTAAAAACAACGTCAAGTAGCGTCAGAACCTCGCTGGCAGAGCAGCGGCCGGCGCGCGCCAAAACGTCAGAAACACCTAAACACAGTTTAAGTATGTAAGAGGGCCGTAACAGCAATGGTGGGTGATGATCCAAACTGCGCCAAAAATATTGATGTTAGTAAAAGTAGAGCTTAGTAAGAGCGTCGCGCGCCTTAATCACAAACATGTACATAACGGCGATATGCAATGCATGTGAAGCTCGCCGCTTCGTTTCATGCATACAGCCCTCTCCAAGTATACACAGAATACTGTGCTGTTCTGAGTAGCAAGCAGCAGCTACCACCCGTTGCAGCACATGAATGATAAAGTGCATATGGATGGATGAAGTACTTTTTCAATCGCTTCAGAAACAAAACAAAGCGCCGCGCGGTCAGCGGCGCCAGCTATGCTGACGTAAGGAATTAACCTCGCGTTTGTCATACGTTTAGTATATTAATGAAGTGCACATGTCCACTTCAAACCTGCTGGGCTTTGACGCCACTGGATTTCCAAATACCATCGGGGAGCGCGTTGCTCAGCACGCCGGCGTCAGCTTGCACGCATTACCGCCATCCCCCGGTGGCGCATTTTCCCCTGGCGCTCAGCGATATGTGCGATATATACACCTGCCAGGTGCGCCTCAGCGATCTGAAGGGCACAAGGCGGTCAGGCGCTTTTCCAGGGTCCTATGTGACCAGTCGCCGTTAGCCAACGTGCCGCTGTCCCTCGCGCTCTCAACCCCAGCGCCACCCTCCGGACCAGTGCCCTCCGCGGCGCCGCCGCCGCCGCCATCACCGCCTTCGATGACAGGGTCAAATTCCGCCGGGCCCGGGGCCGCCGCCGCCGCCGCCACCGACTCCGATTGCCCAGCCGCCCTGCTGGATGAGAACGCCGATGGCGCCACACGCAGGAAGGACTCCAGTGCGTCCTCCCGCACCGGCGGAGCCGCTGAGGTGGAGGTGGAGGGACGCCGGCTGCTGCTACCAACGGTACACAGCGGGTCGCCGGCGCCCTCTTTAGCGCCCTCACTTGGCATCTGCGGCCCCATGCTAGCCATACAGCCGCCGCCGCCAACGTCACCGCCAATGCCGCTGGCGAAAGGCTGCGGGGGTGGTGCTGCTGCAGGTACGACTTGCGCCGCTGACACAGTCGCCGGCGCCACACACGACGCCTGGTTTGTAACAGCAGAAATGGCCCGGGAGCCCTGGGGATGAAGCAACGCCGCCGCCGCCGCTACCACTGTTGCCGTCGGCGTTCCACCTCGCCCAGCAACTAGGAAGGACCCCTGCATCACCGCCGCCGGCTGCATATCCTTCGCCAACGGCGCAGAATTCGCCGTCAACCCCGCCACCTCCGTACTTAACATGGCCAGGTCTCCCATTTCCGTACTTAGCCCTGACAGACCGCCGCCGGTCGCTGAGGAGCGACGGCGGTCGCCGCTGCTGACGGCGGTGCCGCCGGAGACATTGCGCTCCCCCGACACCACAAAACCCGTCGAGGAGCCTTTCCGCGGGTTCTTCAGCGACATGGAGGGCCCACTTGGGGTCGGCCCCGCCAGCAGCGCGGCGAAGTCCACCTCCACGGCGGGGTTGACGGTGATGCCGTCCACTCGGTGGCCCGTCAGGAAGTTCGTGAGGCTGGCCCGTCGCGCCCGACGTGGCTTGGGCGCAGAGAAGGACTGGCCGCTGTCCAAGTGGGAGCTCTCGGGCTCCTCAGGTTGCGTGTTGGCTGCTGGGGGGCGTGGTGGGTGGGATTATTTATACATGTCTACATGATATCAATAATATTATCTATATATAAAAAAATATAATAATAATAATTTCATTATATAAAATAACAAAATACTTCTTATTCAATAAAAGAGGAACTATTAAACATGGAAAAATATTCTTCATCTTGTTTTACTTAGTGATGGGCGGGGGATTGACACTGTGTTGGCGCCAGGTCGTCAGGGGCCTTAGTAGCTCTTCGGCTGCCAGCAATGCACCTGCATTAACACACTATCTGGGCAACGTGGGCCGCAGGGCGGCATCACCAGCACTGGAAATCCGGTGAGTCGAGTCGGCTGCGGCGATCAACCTAATTCAATCCAACAACATCTTCCAGCGACCCCAAGCGCTATGTACCTAAATCCCCTTCCCCCCACGTGGCCTCGTGCCGTATCTACGCACCCGCAATGCGCGCCATAGAGGACAGCTTCCACAGCGCATTGGAGGCAGCAGCGCCGCCGCCGCCGCCGCCGCCTGCTGCCACGCGGCGTTGGGACGTCTGCCTGGTCATGGAGCTCAGCGAGACGAGGCGGCGGGACGACGACACAGGGCTCAAGGAGCCGATTTGCGCCAAAAGCATGGGAGGCGGCTCGTCGTCATCACTGTCTGCGGTGGTAGAAGCGGACACAGGGATTCGGGCGAAAGGTTCGGAAAGTAATTTCCCCGGTGTTTGCGAAAGTGAGCAAGGGGAAGAGGTCGGAGGTTTCGAAGGTCACGGAATGTTGGGGAGTAACCTCCAAGGGGAGCCCGAATGCCCCATTCTCCCCGAGGAATGGAGAGATGGGAGAACCACACAAAAAACTTATAATATGAGCAAACCGAGCCATCAAGTCGAAAAGCCAAGGGAGCAGGAACGGCAGGGCCTGATGTACGATACAGTGGTGTACGACAAACTCCGCATAGACGGATCTAAAACGCAAAGCCCCAGCTCTAGCACTTAAAGAGTGCACTTACCAGAATTGGAAAGGGCCTCTGGGGCAGTCACTTCATGGGTGAGCTGATCGAGAGTGTCCTTGCACGAGTAGTCCGGCAGAGGTCCGAAGCGTGTTGCTGCTGCCGCCGCCAGTCCCTGCGGCGCTGCCGTACCCGCTGCCGAGGAGGCCCATCGCAGGTACTCGGCGATGGCCGTCAGCTTGGCGGCCTCAGCCACGGCGGCGGGCGTCTTGCCGGCGGAGTCTTCGGCATTGGGTCGCATGCCGCCCTGCTCCACAAGCCGCCGTACCTGATAGCGATGGGTGAGGTCGACAAAGTGAGGGTGGGTGCGTATGTGGGTGGGGGCGCAGCCACGACTCCCGAGGTTGGGTGGTTGGGTCCGGCTCCTGTGGTCTGCATGACGCTGCTCGAGCTGTCGGAGACGTCCACATGGAGAGCTTTGGATAGAGACTGTGATGTTCCGGGAAGTAGTCACATTTGTTTACTAATATTGGGCTACCACCTTGGGAATTATGAGCCATTAGAACTACACCCTCTACCACACATCTCCCCCCACTTCCATTTCCCACTCTCCCCACTCCCCCCACCTCCAAACCCATTTTCTCTCCCCTCTCCCCACTTCCCCCTGCATACCAAGAAAACTCACCAGCTCCAGGGAGCCCGTGGAGGCCGCGGTGTGCAGCAGCGCCGCATTCTCCGCCGCCCGCAAGTCCACCCCCCCCCCCAGCAGCGCTGCCACCGCGCGCAGGTCCACATTGATCACCGCCGCGCGCATGTGGGCCAGCAGCACCTTGTCCCGGGGCTCCGGCAGCTGCACGCCGTTGGCGCGCAGCGCCGCCACCACGGCCGAGTGACCCATGCGTGCCGCGCACACCAGTGCCATGTGCCCCTCCGAAACCAGCAGGTCCGAAGGAACCCAGGCGAGCAGCAATTCCGCCACATCCTGACGGTGCAATAAAGCAGAGGGGTTTTACCGGACCCGACCCGACAGAAGGGAAACATACCAGCTGACAGTCAAGATCCTAAAATATTCAAAATCAAGTTCTGGTTGACTCGGGTCGGGAAATCAGGTCAGCCTGTTCAGTCAGCCTGTGGCTCCGAGCCCTCGTAGTAAGGCCCGGGGATGGGCGCCCTGAGGCGCGAGCCGGCGGATGGAGCAAAGGGAGAAACCGGTAAAGGAAAAATATAAGATGCAACGACTAGATTGGATAGTAACTAGTGTGGAAGCTTGAAATCCAAACAGCGATGTGACGACAAGGCCCCTCAAGGAGCCAAGAAAAAACGACCCCCAGCCCCAGTCCAGCAGAAGCATCTAGAGAAACTAGTGTTCCCTAGGGCACTCTCTTACCTTGAAGCCCTTAGATGCCGCCAGCACGAGCCCGGTGAATGTACAGCCCGGTTGGGAGTTATGCGCGATGTAGCGCACACGCGCAACGTCCCCCGTGCCACACGCAGACAGGAAGTCCGTCGCCACCTTATGCCGGTACCGCACCCCGGAGCCTGCCAGCTTGTCCGAACCCAGCAAACCCTCCAAGTACGCCAACACCGGCGCGGCCCCCACTCTCCTCGCCTCGTCCAGTGCCGTGTTCCCCCAGCGGTCCTGGAAGTTGGGATCCGCGCCGCCCTCCTCCACCAGCAGCTTGACAGCCGCCAGGTTGCCCTCCGCGCCGGCGATGTGCAGCGCGGACCGCTTGTCGTAGTCACACGCATCGGGGGGGGCGCCGGAGCGGAGAAGACGACGAAGCTTTACCAAGTCGCCCTCGTACACTGCCGTACACATGACACTGGCGACAGCCATGGGGTCCATGGCAAGGCTGAAGGACGGGGCCAGGGAGGGTGGCAGGGAGGGCACGAGTAAGGGGAGCGAAGCGTGGGATGGGGAGGTGTGGAGGTCTGTTCTTACAGCTCGGTGCACTTCATTGGTGCCTGCCACGTGTTCTGCTGTGAGGGGTGGTGGCGTGAGGGGTGGTGGCGTGAGGGGTGGTGGCGTGAGGGGTGGTGGCGTGAGGGGCGGTAGCGAGGCCCTTCTGTGGGAGCGGGGTGGAGGTTGCTACACGGCGTGGAACCTATGACATCGCTGCAATTAGGGAGCTGTGGTCTTTTACACCCGGAAAACACACAGACCCGGCGGGTGCGTTTGGTGAGCACTTAATGGGGAAATGTGCTATAACGGCGGGTTGTGGAGTTGTGAAGATGTGGAGGACAATGAGCGGACTTGCGGCTGGCTTCGAGGATTATGGTTATGTTCCCAACCCACCGATCGGCATGCAGGAGCGTACGACATGCAGAGGGCAAGCGCCCAGATATGTATGCCTAGTAGTACGACAATTGCTACGTCGCCAAGGCTACGTGGGCGTGGAGATCGTACTGCAGTAACGCTCAGGTTAGGAAAAATGTGCAAAACGTAACGCATATTCGTACTTACGTGGCGCCGTAACTGAGCAGTACATCGATGACGTTGTCGTGCGCATTCTTGACGGCCTCACACATGGCCGAGTTGCCAAATGCGCTGCCGAATTAGCGAACAGGTTTGCGGAACGAAAGTTTCGGGAGGCAGAATAATAAGGTCAAATAGACAGCAGGACTAACAATACCCCTACAGATTCAAAACAATCTTGGGCAGGGAGGCCATAATTACAAGGTCTATCTATTCATCTATCGATTTGCTTATAGATAGAATATAACAAATAAATAATCACAAGGTCTACCTATTCATCTATCTTGTTGCTTATAGATCTACCTACTTAGCTATCTGTTTATATATCTACTACGCTTCGACTTCTCGAAGCGAAGTATGAGTGTAGAGATAGGCAAGTTATTGCGAAGGAACTGCCGTGGTGCGTGGAAGTAGGGCGCATGCATGCATGCATGTGCCGGACCGCAGTACGGCAAGGGACGCCGAGCTCCTACTTGGGTCCCACAGGCGCATTGGTTCTTTAACTGCCGTTGTTTTGACTATTACCAAGAGGTGTGTCCCGCTGCTGGGACAGTGTCCTCTAGTTATGTGTTGCACCGTCTTTTCTTAGCAATACTAGAATCGAATGTCGGCTATGGAAATTGGCGCTGCGGGCGCAGAAAGATTAGTGCTCACTCCCGAAATGCGGGCCCTCTTCGAACAGCAGCTAGCTGAGGAGCGCGAGTTATTTCGCCAGCACTCACAGCTTACTTCGACCGGAGGCTGAAGGAGCACGAGGAGCTAACCCAGCTGATGTTAGCTCAGCCCGAAGCGATAATCTTTTACAATGTGCGGAGCCGCCGGCCCTTAGCCAGCCACCCGCAATTACGCGGATCCTGGGCCTTGGTGAAGGTTGTGCGCGTCGCTATTGAGCGCATTAACTTAATTTGAACAGCAATGGCGGATGATGCGTCCGAAGAAGGTCAGGCGTTGCTGAAAGCTGTCACGTGGTTAACCAACCTCCGCTATTTAGCTTCCATTGCCGCTAGGAACGCCACCATACATTAGGAGTC